TGGCATGAGCACTGTAGCCAGATCGTGCCCCTTTAAAGGCTCTGGGGGCAGGAAGGGGGCAGAAAAGTTTCCCTGGTTTGGCCCAGAGTGGCCACCAGGGCAAGCTGGGAAGGGCTAGCCTCCAACTAGTTCAAATTAAGTGGCTACACAGCCCTTAATTCGAACTACTTAATTCGAACTAGGCGTTACTCCTTGTAGAATGAGGTTTACCTAGTTCGAATTAAGTGCTCCACTAGTTCGATTAAAATTCGAACTAGTGGTTTGTATATGTAGCCCCTATTAAAGTTAATTCGAACTAATGACTGTTAGTTCGAATTAACTTTGTAGTGTAGACATACCCTATGAGTCCTAACACACTCCCACTTGGCCTGTGAGTGGGACAGGGAATGCAGGTGGGTAGGCACCTCAGCCCCTGAGGGCCGTAAGGTTTGACCGTAGAGCATGAATGCCAGAGGGTCTCACATTATCATCTGACCTCAAGGCCCATCATACCAGGTCTTTTACCACTAAAACCTGCATGTCTTATGGTGTAGGATTGTACTGCAGATCAGTCTTGGGCAGCCAGTCCTAATACTCTATTGAAAATGACAACTAAACTCTTCCAGGAATGTTTCCAACATTTCTAAGTCCTCCTTCATTTCCCTTGTCATTCAGATAAAGCGGTGGATGTTTTGCATTTTAGAGGAGGCAGCTGCCAGCCAGGCACTAATCACCAGGAGCCATCACCTAGTATGCAATGTTTAGGTATTCCATGACCACCTGAAATTCCCTGTCAGAATTTTTTTTGCCCCATGAGAACCAGTATCTGTGTCCCGACTGATTCCATCTTCTCCAAACTAGAGAAACTCCTGACTAATTCTAACCAAGAAGGTCTCCGAACTGTGTTCTGTTCAATGACCAACTTTGGGTCAGGCCTTCTGTTTGTTTTATGGCACAAGGATCCTAAGGTGTTCTGTTAGGTTCTGAAATGCCTGAAGCATGTACTCACAATTGCTTGTTCCTAATTTCCCTGCACATAAAATATCATTGAGATTGTGTGTGCCACTGCTTTTCATTCCACAGTGGCACTATTTCCCACTCCAACAATATTTTTATATTAGAAATAAGACACAAACATTTCACAGTGCAGATGATTCACCATTGGAACAAACTACTAACTAAATTATGGATATTCCATTTCTTGATGTCTTATAATGGAGACTACATGGGTGTGCTTGCATCAAAACTTAGATACAATGGAGAGCTGGGATATATAGAGGTCAGATTTGTTGCTCTAAGAGTCCCTTCTGGTTTTAAAGACTACTAATTAATGAAAAATTGAATGCGTCAGAGGGAGCAGTCTCTGGGGCTTTACTGTGTAACCAGCTTGATCCCCAGACTCAGCTGTCTTTAAATAGGATTATCCAGGGGAAGCCAGTCAAATATCCAAAGAGGCTGGACAGGATCAGAACACCAGCCATACAAGAGAGGGGTAGGTGTGGAAGTGATATCACAAAAGTCTGTTGCAGGAGCTCACTGCAGGCAGAACCCCCTATTGGGGGACAGTGATGGAGAGACTTTGACATCAGCCAGGTAATACAGAGGAACAAGGCAGGAGCAACCTCAGAGACTCCTGTGGCTTTGCAGCAGCAAGGCTCCTTCTTAAGGTCTCTCATTGGGGACTGAGAATTAGGATTAACAATTCACCTTCCTTCTCAGACTGTCCTCCTTTGGTTAATGGGAGCCCTGTTGAAACTTGCCACATCTTCTAACTCCTTCTCCCCCTACTCCATTTAGGATCAACTCCCCCTCTCCAGACACCAATGATAGTCCAGCCATCATAGGGAGCCCTGCTATTCTGAGGGGCCAGAGATGCAACCCAGTGGCTGTGTCTACACTGGCCACATAACCTGTAATAGCTATGGAAATGAGAGAAGTCAGAATAGGGAAATGTGCGGGGGATTTAAATATCCCCCGTGGGATTTAAATAAACATGGCCACCGCTTTTTTCCGGCTTGGGGAAAAGCCGGAAAAGAGCGTCCAGACTGGCGCTATCCTCCGGAATAGGGCTTTATTCCAGAGGATCGTGCCAGACTGGACTCTCTTTTCCGGCCTTTCCCCAAGCCGGAAAAAAGCGGTGGCCATGTTTATTTAAATCCCGCGGGGGATATTTAAATCCCCCGCACATTTCCCTATTCTGACTTCTCTCATTTCCATAGCTATTACAGGTTATGTGGCCAGTGTAGACACAGCCAGTGGGAATGGAAGGATACATTGGACATTAGGAAAAACTTCCTAACTGTCAGGGTGGTTAAACACTGGAATAAGCTGCTTAGGGAGGTTGTGAAATCTCCATCTCTGGAGATATTTAAGAGCAGGTTAGATAGACATCTATCAGGGGTTGTCTAGATAGTACAGTGCTCTGCCATGGTGGCAGGGGACTGGACTTGATGACCTCTCAAGGTCCCTTCCAGTTCTAGTGCTTTATGATCCTATGATTCTATGATACAGCCCCCAAAACCAGACAGAGACATCTGATAAGAAGCTTCTAAGCAACAGCTATCACAGGGAGATGGAGGGAATGGAGGCAGGCAGTCATCCTCCTACAGTGTGTTGGGGGACGGTCTGGCAATGAAGATTATTAGAGAGGAAGATGAGTCCATCTATGGGTGCCAGTTTCCATTATTCCTTCCTGATTCCTGTGGACACCCAAGTCGCTGTCATGCCCTTCTTCTCTTGAGACAGGAGGACATTATGGCCATGGTGATGCACTAGTTACTCTCCATCCAATCCTGTCACCAGATGCCCTAGGCTCTGCAGAGACTACACATTTATGATGCCTCTGATAGACTCTAGAACCCCATATTGGGCTAGGAAGGGTTAGAAAGCAGGTCTGGACCGCTGGGATCCCACTCTACTGCCTGTCCAGAACCTGCTCCAGCTGGAGGAAGAGTTTCAAAGAGAGCTAGTCATGGGTTGTATATGCCCACATTCTATCCAGAAACCAAAGGGTTAATACAGGCACAGCTATTGTTGATGAGCAGGCTAACAGGAGCTGGGAGGATAAAAGGGCTGGAAAGCAGACTGGAGGGCTGCTAAAGAGGAGTGAGCAGGCAGGAAAAAGGAGCTCTGGTCAGCAGACTGCTAAAGAGCCAACCAGAGAGAGTCCCCTTCCCCCAAGCAAGGGTGAGGAGGCCAAAAGATCACTCCCCTAGGGTATGTCTACACTACCCCGCTAGTTCGAACTAGCGGGGTAGTGTAGACATACCCTAGGGGAGTGATCTTTTGGCCTCCTCACCCTTGCTTGGGGGAAGGGGACTCTCTCTGGTTGGCTCTTTAGCAGTCTGCTGACCAGAGCTCCTTTTTCCTACCTGCTCACTCCTCTTTAGCAGCCCTCCAGTCTGCTTTCCAGCCCTTTTATCCTCCCAGCTCCTGTTAGCCTATAGTTCCACGAGCAGTACAGATAGTTCGGAATGGCTACGTAGTTCGAACTATCTAGCCCGTGCCGCGTGTAGCCGCGCGGCACGGGGTTCGCACTAGCCGGCTTTTAAAAATGGCGGGGCCGGCGTTTTGCTAATGAAGCCCGGCTTTATGCTAATGAAGCTCGGGAAATTCAAATCCCGGGCTTCATTAGCAAGTTCGGTATGCATACATTACCCCGCTAGTTCGAACTAGCGGGGTAGTGTAGACATACCCCTAGATGGGCCTAAGCGCACAGTGAATTTCCAGATTCCTGGGCATGAGGAGTGGACTGACATCCCCACTGAACTGAGTGAGCCAGAGCCACATCCTCCTCCGGTTTGGTCAGGGAATGTACCTTTGCAATGACGCACCACCTCAACGGGCCAGACAGCTCCCAATGGGGAGAGACAACAGAGGATGAGAGACTGACCTGGGGATGATGCTGAAAAGGGGTGCATCAGGAGTTCTGGCTACAGGAGAAATTTTGCTGGCAGTAGCTGCCCCAGGCTTGAGCGTAGGGGCCAGCCTTTGCCTGAGACTAAAGATCCCTTTGCTCTAACATCTGAAGGATCCTGGGTGAGGCATGTGGCCGCATGCTCAGTGGAGCAGAAGAGCCCAGGATTCCACACTAACCACCCATTTCATGGAGGAGACCGAGATCACTTTTCCCTCCATTGGGCAGGGGAGGTCTGAGACACAATAAGCCCTGAGCTATTCACAGAAACCATAGGGAAGCTGCAGGTGCTTTCTTTTGTGGTGACATTGGGCTGTACATTTTGTTGTACTCTGTTCACCTGCAACTTAATTGGTAAACTGGCCAGAGAGCCAAGACCCCAGATCTCAATCATTCAGCCTGGTTTAACCTATACCTCCCATTACCTCCATATGAGCTGCTATATGGGAGGCAGCCCCACTGGATCCTAGATCTCCTCCACAAGCATGGTGGGAGTCAGGCCCAGGAACAACCAACATGGCATAATTTGTGTTCTGTCAGATGGAAAACTTGAAGCCTCTGCAGGCTTTGTTGTGAGAGAATGTGCTGAAATTTCAGAATCAGGAACAGGATGACAGCAAAGTGAAAATTTAAACCCAGTCAAGAGGGTTTGTTGTTGCTCCCAACCTTGGAGTCAAAACTGCTGGCTACCTGGCCAGGGTCCTTCAAGGTTATAAACAAGGCAAGAGCCTCCAGGGATGAGAAACAAGACAGAGGTCCTACCACACAAACCTACTGTAGATTTGAAAGACCAAGGAGGCCTCCTCATCATGCCCTTTTCACCAGAATTTAAGCTCAGGCTGCAAGTGCCCTTAATCCATGATGCTGGAAAGTTTCCATTAGCAGAAAGAGGTATAGCTACAGGGTGATGCAGACATTAGCTGGCATTGTGGCAAATTCCTGGACATGTACATTGGGTTCCCAAGCAAAGTAAATAATTCCAAAATTTCCAAGGACTTTTTAAGAGAGGATACACTAGCTCCAAGTAAATAATAATATAATGTCTCACCATCCCCACAAATAATGGAACCAGCCAATGCTAACCCATTGAAACACCACTTTCTACTTCATTTAGAATAAATTTTACTCATCTCCTTATTGTGCTTAACATAATAGAGTCATTTCTTCTTGGTAGAAGAGAGGAGCAGCTGACCAGACAATCTTTTGGAAATGTTTTGATCTCTGAGTGTCTGAGAATAAAAAAAACATATGGCTGTTACAATGCATTAATGATCTTTACCAATTTTCCAATTACTTAATTTTTAAAGTATAGATCTCTGCATGACAGTGACAGGGATGACCTTAAAGCTAATATGCTTGATTGCTTGTAAAAGTGATGTTAATAAAGTGCTCAAGAGGAGGTTTGCTGAGAAAAGTGACACTTTAGACATGGAAATTGCAGTGGCTGAGCCACATTCAATTCTCAGTAACCTCAATGTGAAACTGAAGTAACTCCATTAAAATAAATCAATTGAAGTTCCTCCAGATTCATTCTAGTGTATTTGAGATAATCTGACCTAGTTAATGTAACTATGTGTATATGATCCGTTATTTTACGTATTTTAATAATAAGCACATTAGACATACATAACTCATTTGTAATAATATGTGAATGAACAGATTTTTGTAATATTTATAATTATTCGTATAACATTTGAACTGCATTGTTTAGACACAGAGGTTACATGGAATGGTTTTGTTCTATGACTAAGGGTATGTCGACACAGTGGCTCTATTTTGGAATAACGTCTGCTATCTCCAGATAGCATTGTGTGCGTCTTAACAGCATGCCTGTTATTTTGAAATAATTTTGAAATAATGGGTGTCTTATTCTAGCTTCCTGTGAACCTTGTTGCATGAAGAATGAGGAAGATGCTGGAATAGCACTCTATGTCGAATTTGCATAGCTCAATTTGCATAGCTCAACTTGCATAGCTTATTTTGAGCAATGCACGATGTGTAGACATACCCTAAATGAGTATAACTCTTAGAACCAGGTTTTCTGAGCAAATATACATCATTTTAAAGTGGAATTTGTTTAAAATTGATTGTTGTCATAGCCAACATTCATGCTGGTAAATTCATTGAAAATGGCACAGAATAAATGAAGTGGATTCTTTGCTAAAAATCTGCCCCCCCTTTCTTGATGACAGTTTTTAAAACATTAATTTTTCTCTGGCCATAAGTAGCATTTGTATAGATCAAGGTATTGTTCTAAAGATGGGCTCAAGTGAGTAAATTCTGATCCAAATCTGACGTTCATTCCAAACTCTGTCAACATTCTTATAGACATTATTGTCTTGAATAGCCTCCAAGCCCCAAAAACATTAGTTATCATCTAGTCTCCTGTTCTTTGTAAGACAGGCAATAGAACATACCCAAATAATTCCTAGATCATATCTTTTAGAAAAACATTCAATCTAGATGTAAAAATTCCAAGTTACATTCAATCTAGATGTAAAAATCCACCAGGACCTTTGGTAAAATTGTTCCAATGATTAATTATGTTCAGTCAAAAAAAATTATGCCTTAGTTTCAGGAGGTTTTTCAACTTTATAATCATGCAAATGTGAACACTTTTGTCCTTCCCCAAGTCCCTGGCTCCTAGCCCCACTACTTCTCCAAGGCCTGGTCTGCTGGTGACTCCAGCCTCCTTCCTTCCAACATTGCTCTCCCCTGCCCTCACACATTTTCACAGGATTGGGGCAGGGATTTAAGGTGCAGGAGTGGGAGGTGGGTGCCTAAGCTGGGGATGGCCTGGGCTTGGAGTTGGGGATGAGGGACTTGGGGAGCAGGAGAAGGACTAGTCTGAAGCCAAAGGATTTAGAGTGCTGGTGGAGGATCAGGGCTAAGGCAGCGGGTTGGAGTGCAGGAGAGGGTGTGGACTCTGGCTGAAGTGTGGGCTCTAAGGTGGGGCCAAGGATGAGAGGGTTGAGGTGCAGTAGAGGTTTCAGGGCTGGGGTAGGGGGTTAGGTGCAGGAGGGGATCTGGGAGGGAGATTGGGTGCAAGAGGGGGTTTTGACCTGTGGCAGGGGCCTGGCCTGCCCTACAGACACACCAGAGATGCAGCTGAGTAGGAAACTAAAACATTTGGGGCACCACATTTTCAGTTGCCCCTATGCAGTTGCATGTGCTGTGTATGTAAGTGGCTGCTCTGAGCCAGTGGCCTTCTCCTTGCCTCCTCCCCATTTCTGCCTATTCCACTCTGCCATGGACAGCTGTCTCCTCCTCCCCCCATGTCATGGCCCCTGTGTTCTTAGACCAGTGCTGGACCTGGATCAGTGAGGTTGCTGTATACACCCCCCTTTATTCGAATATGGAGGATCACAGACCATGTTGGACAGGAGGCAGCACCAGCCCCAGTAGATAGACAATGACCCATGTCTGATCCTTGCGCCAGGTAAGTCCCCTTGGCCCTGACCCCACTTAGCAACCAGAGACCAGTTTCCCCTGATCCCTCCCACTCTCTCCAGCAACCCGGGGGAGACCAAGTTCTCCCTGCCTCTTCCACCCACCAGTTCTCCTGTTCTAGGGAGGGATGTGAGTCGGGTTCAGTTTGGTCTGGAGAGGGACATGGGTCTGGTCCAGCCCAGGTGAATGACATGGTAAATGAAATGTCTTAAACTTTTCCTCTTTTTTATTTCTAAAATATTTTAAACAGTTTTTAAATTTGCCCCAATTTAATTTAAAAAATGTAATTCAAGCCCTAGAAGTTCATATCGGAGGCTCTGCCTGTGGGGTGAGTGAGCAGGCAGGCTGGCATGGAGGAGGTTTTGCCCAAGGGCTGTGGCCACTCCACACACTGGAGTCAATAGGGCACCACTTTAATAGTCCTGCATAGGGCCTCATAAATCCTAAAGATGGCCCTGAAGCTATGTCTAGACAGCATCCCTCTGTTGGCAGCGGGATGCAAATCAAGTACATCGACATTGCTAATGAAGCAGGGATTTAAATATCCTGTGCCTCATTAGCATAAACATGACTGCCGCTTTTTTTCGAAATGGAGTTTTTTTGAATAAAACGGCAGTCTACCCGCGGATCTGTTGAAAATAAAGCTTTTTTCAACAGATCCTGTATTCCTCAAAAAATGAGGTTTACAGAATCTGTCAAAAAAGGCTTTATTTTCAACAGATCCGCGGGTAGACTGCCGTTTTATTCAAAAAAACTCCATTTCGAAAAAAAGCGGCAGTCATGTTTATGCTAATGAGGCACAGGATATTTAAATCCCTGCTTCATTAGCAATGTTGATGTGCCTAATCTACAGCTCTCTGACGACAGAGAGGTGTAGTGTAGACACACCCTGAGAATAGGAGGGTGTTGGATGTGTGGGTTTCAGCTGGGCAGTGCTTACCTCAGGTGGCTCATAGTTGGCATCACAGCATGGCTAAGGCAGGATTTTTGCTGGAGTCCTGCTGCTCAGCCAACCAGACTTTCAGCAGCTCAGTGAGTGGAGCCTTTTTGACTGGACGTTCCAGTTGAAAATCAGAGGCCTGGCAACCTTCCTCTCCTGTCTGAATTAGTCTAGACTCAACTTCCAACCACTGGATTTCATAAACCTTTTTCCTCTAGACTGAAGACCCCATTATTAAATATGTGTTCTTCATGAAGATATTTATAAACTGTGGTCAAACCACCCCATAATCTTTCCTTTGATAAGAAAAATATAGTGAACTCCCTGATTCTAGCACTATATGGTATGTTTTTGAGTCCTTTATTCATTCTGGTGGCTCGTCTCTGACCCCTTTCCAGTGTATCAACACCCACGTATTTATTTATTTGTACTACAAGAGTACCAAGAACACCAACTGAAATTAGGAACTCATTGTATGAGGCATATTTTTAAACACTAAATAGATGGTTCCTAATCAAAGAGCAGGTGAAATCCTATCACATCATACTTAATTGCTGTTTTGGCATTTATGTAAATGGAGCCAGGATTACACTCAGAATGAGGGTGGAGATACAGGATACAAAAGGAGGGAGCCGGATGATATTTGGCAAATGTTACTTCCACTTTTTAACCCACGTTTTAAAAGTTTTTTTCTCTATTTTTGTTTTTGTCCATTGGGGTTTTATGGACTGAGATGGAGGAAAATGGGAAGGCAGACGGGGATGAGTTAATAGGAGTAAGAGAGTGGGAGAGAACATATATAGAAGAGGGGAATTGATGGACAGGAGATGAGGAGAAAAAGAAAGAAGGTTGTTGTGGAAACATGGTGGCTGGTAAGGAAAATGGAAGGCAGGCAGAGTGAAGCTGGGATTGAGCAAGAAGAGGCAATATGAGATGGCTATCATCTTCAGATCTGGGTCCCATCTCTTCTAGAATCCAGAGCATTTCAAACTCAGGATTTGGCCACAAGCCCATTCCTAGTTTGTTACCACCAGTTTTGAAGGTATTGAAACTGCAATTGCATCTACTAAACCTTAAGCCAAATTTTGCTTCTGTTGCATTCAGAATTACTCCATTAAATCTAACAGAATCATTCTGGATTCACATTACTGTAATGGCCAGGATAATTTGACCACGCAATTTAGAAAGATGCTTTGAGGAGACACAAGAATGGTAAGGCGTGCTAAGTAAAAGTGAAGCTTGTGCTGTTTGATAGAGTGACAGACATTAACTTTGATTGGGACACTATTCTACTTACTGCTGTTTCACATTTATTTGTATGAGCAGACAGTGGTTGGTGTTCTGCAGCCTGTAGCACCAATTCCATTGACATGATTATTAGTACAGTATATAAATATAGTGGAATCCTTAGAAAGGTCATGAAGACATTTTCTCTCTCTTTGTGCTCTCAGAAGCTGCAATTGAAGTGAGTGATTCCATGAGTCATTTCAATGGGAGATTTGTTGGTATTAGATGTAGGTTCCAGATGCCTGACTGGAATTTTTATGGGTACTTTGTAAACTGCCATAGGTAATCCTCTGAAAAAGAGTGGGGGGAGGGAAAGGGGGTTATACTCATGGAAGTATTAACTTTACCTCATCTCTATTTCTACAAGAACTTTAGATATCAGGGTTATTCATGCTTTCCAAATGCTACATTTTGCATCAAAATGTTTACTGTAATGAAACAAATCATTTATTTTATCAGCGATTTCATCACATCTGTGTCAACTGCTGCTGATTGTTCTGAACATCTACAGAACGTGCTTGAACTGTGCCTCTTTATATCAGCTATACATCCAGAATGGTATCTTTATGAAGGTTCAGAGTAATAACTAACTGTGTCACTGGACAAAGTTGCATAGGATTTCATTTTCCTTCTTAATCTTATCAGGTGAAAAGAAAAGATTCAAATTGTTTACCATTCATTGCTCAGAAAACAAAACTGACATCTTCATCTCCTACGAAAGGATGCGAATTTAACTTTGCAGCTTATGATGGCTAATTCCATTTTTCATTATCCTTAAAACAAATGTGATACTTACCAATATTAACTTGATACCACAACTAGTGGCTGATATGGACATACTCAGTATCATGAAGTCATTTAAATTGAACCATATTGTGTAACCTCTGTCTTCCAATGTGAGTGATAATAATATTAACTGCACTATATTTTGGTAGAGCAGACGCAAAAAGAAACTAAGCATATTATATCTAATATGAAATAGATAATAGATATAATATAAGATATAACAAGTAATGGATTTCAAAGCTATATTCAAAAGAGAGAGACATTTTCTGTATATTTGTACAGCGCTTAGTATAATGGGTCCCTGATGTGGAAGGCCTCTGTGCTCTCACAATACAAAGGTTTAAATAACAACAAAACAATAATATAAATCACTAAAATGAAATTATTTTAAAATTTTCCTAAAATATTAGGTTCGCTGTGATGCTGTCATTTCTGAATTTGTCCTAGTGAAGCAGTTGATCCACATTAAAGCAACATTTTAATATAGGAACTAATGTTGCAAAGGTACACAGTGTCCTTTTAAAAGCTTTATATTTTGATGGATTTGCCCACTTAATCTAAAAATCACCCAATCAATACTAAACGCCAAGAAAATACCGTTTCTCTATAAAAAGGCGAGGGTTTCGTAAAACGTTTTCAAGAAAGCATGTTGATTGCATTTGGTATCTTAAGAAGTTAAAGATCACTCCCATTTGTTGATAGATTTAGTGTAGTTGCTCAATGAAAACATTTCAAACTTGTTAATGAGCTTCCATTCTTGTTGTTGCAGATGATGGATCTAAGCCTGTGAAGCTTTACCCATGTAAATAATTCAAATGCTCCTATTTTCTTCAGTGATACTAATTGTACAGATAAGGGTTAATTATATGAATAAGGCTTGCTGTTGGGTCCCATATTTACTCTACCATACGACCATTCACAGATTCACCAGTTTGATCTTGGATTAATTTTGTATACCTCAGAGGTCGATTCTAAGGAACAAGATACTCCAAGATATCACTAAAATTTAGACATTATTGCCTTTCTACTGCTCTAAATTGACCAAGATTGTGTAGATCCTAAGGGGCAATTCTGATAGCTGATGATTGCCAGAACTTGGCAGTGCACTCTTGGTACTGAACATAGCGCCCTGCACTGGGAGTTGGCAAGCGATGTGTAGAGCTATCTTAAAATCGACAATCAATTGTTTCTCTCCATGAGCGAAATGCAAAGGAGCTGAAGAGGAAAGATTTGGGCCCACAGACCTGGAGAATCCAAGGTATTGGAGCCTATGTTTCTGAATATTTGTTGCACTGCAGGATCTGATGCTCATATTCTTGAAGATCTTTACATACCTAGCTCCCATTGATTTTAATAGGAGTCAAGCCCTTATGTCCTCTTCCTGACACTCAACATAAGTTAAATACTACACTATTTTTCTGCAGTATCTAGCCTCTGCACTAGACATGCACAGAAATTACCAAAGTCACTGGCTCCAAAGAGACATACTACACACCAGCCTGCTAGCTCAAGTAAGGAGTCACACTTCACTGTAATATTACAGCACTGAGATGAATTGATAGTAAAACCAAGGCTAAGTTTTTAATAAACAACAAAGTATTAAAGCTAGTGGAAGCATATATGGTTAAAATAGAACAAAAGTATAACACGCTATTAAGAGCCTGTAGTGCACATAGCAGTCATTTGGCTAACTCAGTTTTCTCACCCCCAGAGTTTGCTGATTTTCAGTCAAATTGGAATCCAAATTTTCCATGAATCACTCCCCTTCAGTGAAATGGATACTCACAGAGTTCCAGCAAAATGTATCTTTTGAAGTGTACCCCAGACAAAGTTCTTCTTTCCCTCCCGTAGGCAGATGCCATGGTGTCCATGCTGTTTTTTGCATCCCTCTGTTAATTTTCTTTTCCTACTGACTTCATGCACAAATGAAGTTTGCTTTGCATTGGCTTTTCCCATGCTCAATTTACATCAGACACCTACGCAGAAAAACTTCTGTTTGTAATCCCTGCCTGGCTTGCTTGATTTAAGCATATTTTCAGTGTACATATACAACTCCTTGTTACCTGTACATACATGTCACAATGAGCAGTATGATGCACATTTTGATACCAGAGGCAACAGTCTTTACAGATAAATACCATGAAAATACCAATAGCAATAGCAATGTGTTAGCTTTGTGAACAGGAGCAACTAACAGAGTTTTGTGAGGGAGTTCTCCAGATGAAGGAGGAGCGATTATGGGACACTTGAAGTCAGTGGCTGTCTGTAGTATATGTGTTTGTGTTTGTGGGTTACTTGCTGTTGAACCTGAAAGAAACTGTGTGCTGAGCTTTTGTTTGTTTGTTTGGAGATTCATGTGCTGAGCTGTATGTTTGAAGGACTGTGTTACTGTGGCCAGCAGTTGGAAGCTGTGAGCTTCTTAACGAGGATTTGAAATCTAGAACTTGCTGTTCATTGGTCAGGCCTTAGATAGGGGACAGGGCTATCATGAAGGCCAGGCTTTATAAAGCCCGTTAGTAACATGGGCAGCAAACAGGGAGTTTCGTGAGGGAGTTCAGAAAGGGAGTTGGAAGAGGGTGAGGTACACTTGACATTCTTTCAAACTGTTGAGCTAAACTAAAACCAAAGCTCCCTGATTTAAATAAAAACCCTATCAATAATCTAATTAACTGTAGAAGAGAATGCAGGCAGAAGCCCAGCAGCAGAGTGGGGACTATCCTGTTTATTACATCCAATGTAGCATGTATGATTACCAGCCTTATGGACAGGTAGCATATTTGTGCATTTGATGAAAGAAAGTCCTGGCCCTCAGAGACCACATATAGGCTTTGAAGGCCAGGGTGGCTGAATTGGAGGAGCTAAGCGAGGCAGAGAGGTACATAGATGAGTCTTTCCAGGACACTGTAGAACTGTCCCACTACTAGTCAGAAAGTGTCTGTACTGTTAAGGAGTATGAAAGGCCCAGGGAAGGAGAACAGTCACCTGGAGCAGAGGGAAATGATCCCATAGTTGGGACCCTCCTTCCAGATGATGTTGCAGTATCCTCTCACACTGAGGATACCTCTCTGGTGGAGGAAATTCCAGTCATTAGGAAAAGGCAGGTGTTAGTAATGGGGGATTCAGACATTAGAAACATAGATAACTGGGTTTGTGATGACCAGGAGAACAGTATGGTGACTTGCCTGCCTGGTGAAAAGGCTGTGAATCTCTCGAGACATCTAGATAGACTTATGTGTAGCTCTGGGGAGGAGCCGGTGGTCAGTACGTGTAGGTAACAATGATATAGGGAAGGGTAGGAGAGAGGTTCTGGAGGCCAAATTTAGGCTGCTAGGAAAGAGATTGAAATCTAGGACCTCCATGGTAACGTTTTCTAAAATACTTTCAGTTTCACGTGCAGGGTCAGGTAGTTAGGCAGAGCTTCGGAGTCTCAATGCGTGGATGAGACAATGGTGTAAAGTGGAGGGGTTTAGATTAATTAGGAACTGGGGAAACTTTTGGGACAGGGGGATCCTATACAGGAAGGATGGAACTGGACTGCTGGCACTTAACATTAAAATGATTGTAGAGCAGTTTTAAAACAAAAGGTATGTCTACATTACAAAGTTAATTAGAACTAGTGGACGTTAGTTCGAATTAACTTTAATAGGCGCTACACTAGCGCTCCGCTAGTTCGAATTTAAATCGAACTAGCGGAGCGCTTAGTTCGAACTAGGAAAACCTCATTTTACGAGGATTAAGCCTAGTTCGAACTAGCTAGTTCGAATTAAGGGGTGTGTAGCCCCTTAATTCGAACTAGTGGGAGGCTAGCCCTCCCCAGGTTTCCCTGGTGGCCACTCTGGCCAACACCAGGGAAACTCGTCTGCCCCCCTCCCAGCCTTGGACCCCTTAAAGGGGCACGGGCTGGCTACGGTGCCCGTTGGCACGGATCAAGCCACCCACCCGATGCCCCCCAGCCCTCCCCCTCTTCCTGGGACCAGGCTGGTGGCTCCCGGGAGCTTGCCCGGGAACCCAAGAGGCGGGCACCCGCCCGGGATAGTGCAGACATCGTGGACCTTGTCCACTATCTCCGCACTAGGCACAGGAAAGTGGCCGGCTAGGGCAGGCGAGCTGCCAGCCTGGCCATCGCAGGATTTAGAACCGTTAACAACAACTCTCTGACTACGGTTATCCAGCCAATTATGCACCCACCTTATCGTGGCCCTATCTAAGTTATATTTGCCTAGTTTATCAATAAGAATATCATGCGAGACCGTATCAAATGCCTTACTAAAGTCTAGGTATATGACATCCACCGCTTCTCCCTTATCCACAAGGCTCGTTATCTTATCAAAGAAAGCTATCAGATTAGTTTGGCATGACTTGTTCTTCACAAACCCATGCTGGCTATTCCCTATCACTTTATTACCTTCCAAGTGTTTGCATATGATTTCCTTAATTACCTGCTCCATTATCTTCCCTGGGACAGACGTTAAACTGACCGGTCTGTAGTTTCCTGGGTTGTTCTTATTCCCCTTTTTATAGATGGGCACAATATTTGCCCTTTTCCAGTCTTCTGGAATCTCCCCTGTCTGCCATGATTTTTCAAAGATCATAGCTAAAGGCTCAGATACCTCCTCTATCAGCTCCTTGAGTATCCTGGGATGCATTTCATCAGGACCTGGTGACTTGCTGACATCTAACTTTCCTAAGTGATTTTTAACTTGTTCTTTGTGTATCCTATCTTCTAAACTTACCCTCTCTCTGCTTGTATTCACTACGTTAGGCACACCTCCAGACTTCTCGGTGAAGACCGAAACAAAGAAGTCATTGAGCATCTCCGCCATTTCCAAGTTCCCTGTTACTGCTTCTCCCTCCTCGCTAAGCAGTGGGCCTACCCTGTCCTTGGTCTTCCTCTTGCTTTTAATGTATTTATAAAAGGTCTTCTTGTTTCCCTTTATGCCTGTAGCTAGTTTGATCTCATTTTGTGCCTTTGCCTTTCTAATCTTGCCCCTGCATTCCCGTGTTGCTTGCCTATATTCATCCTTTGTTATTTGTCCTAGTTTCCATTTTTTATGAGACTCCTTTTTTATTTTGAGATTGTGCAAGATCTCCTTGTTAAGCCAAGCTGGTCTTTTGCCATATTTTCTATCTTTCCTACACAGCGGAATTGTTTGCTTTTGGGCCCTTAACAACGTCCCTTTGAAATACTTCCAACTCTCCTCAGTTGTTTTTCCCTTCAGTCTTGCTTCCCATGGGACCTTACCTACAAGTTCTCTGAGCTTATCAAAATCTGCCTTCCTGAAATCCATTACCTCAATTGTGCTGGTCTCCCTTCTACCTTTCCTTAAGATCATGAACTCTATTATTTCGTGGTCACTGTCCCCTATACTGTCTTCCACTTTCAAGTTCTCAACTAGTTCCTCCCTATTTGTTAAAACCAAATCCAGAACAGCTTCTCCTCTGGTAGCTTTTTCAACCTTCTGAAACAGAAAGTTGTCTCCAATGCAGTCCAGAAACTTATTGGATAGCCTGTGCCTCGCTGTGTTAGTTTCCCAACATATGTCTGGATAGTTGAAGTCCCCCATCACCACCAAATCTTGGGCTTTGGATAGTTTTGTTAATTGTTTAAAAAAGGCCTCATCCACCTCTTCCACCTGGCTAGGTGGCCTGTAGTAGACTCCTAGCATGATATCACCCTCGTTTTTTACCCCTTTTAGTTTAACCCAGAGACTCTCTACGCAGCTATCTCCTACGTTCATCTCCACTTCAGTCCACTTAATGTGGACATGCTAGTTCGAATTAGTAAAACGCTAATTCGAACTAGTTTTTTAGTCTGGATCCGTTAGTTTGAATTAGCTTAGTTCGAATTAACTAATTCGAACTAAGTTAGTTCGAATTAACGTTGTAGTGTAGACATACCCAAAGGGATGAGGGAAAGCCAATGGGTGCAGAGAGCACATAGATTGGACAGAACCTCTCTTAGGGGAGGGTCTAATAATAGAGATTCTATGTATTCTAGTTAGGTGGAGAGGATGGAATTATGAGTCAAATCAGATGAGACACAATCAAATGAAAAAGAAGTCTAACACTTCAGGAATGGCAGATAGATAAACAATGATAAATTTTTAAAGTGCTTATATACAAACTCTAGAAGTCTAAATAATAAGATGGGTGAACTAGAGTGCCCTGTTTTAAGGGAGGATATTGATATAATAGGCATCATAGAAATTTGGTGGAATGAAGACAATCGATGGGACACAGTTATACCAGGGTATAAAATATACTGGAAGGACAGAACAGGTCATGCTGGTGGGGCAGTGGCACTATATGTGAAAGAAAATATAGAATCAAATGAAGTAAAAATCTTGAATGAGCCAAAATGTTCCATAGAATTTCTATGGATAGCAGTATTTTGATGCTCTAATAATAAGAATACAGCAGTAGGGATATATTATCGACCACCTGATCAGGACAGTGCTAGTGACTATGAAATGCTAAGGGAGATTAGAGAGGCTATTAAAATAAAAAACCTCAGTAATAGTGAGGGATTTCAACTATCCCCATATTGACTGGGTGCATGTCTCCTCAGAATGGGTTGCAGAGATAAAATTTCTTGATACCTTAAATGACTGCTTCTTGGAATAGCTGGTTCTGGAACCCACAAGGGGAGAGGCTATTCTTGATTTAGTCCTAAGTGGAGCACAAGATCTGGTTCAAGAGATGAATATAACTGGACCCCTTGGAAATAGTGACTATAATGTACTAACATTTACCATCCCTGTGGTGGAAAAACACCACAGCAGCCCAATACTGTGGCACTTAATTTCAGAAAGGGGAACTACAGGAAAATGAGGAGGTTAGTTAAACAGAAATTAAAAGGTACAGAGAGAAAAGTAAAAACTCTGCAAGCTACATGGAAACTTTTCAAAGACACCATAATAGAAGCCCATCTTAAATGTATACCCCAAATTAAAAAACACAGTAAAAGAACCACAAAAGTGCCACTGTGGCTTAACAACCAAGTAAAAGAAGCAGTGACAGATAAAAAGACATCTTTTAAAACATGGAAGTCAAATCTTAGTGAGGAAAATAGAAAGGAGCATAAACTTTGTCAAATTAAGTGTAAAAATATAATA